ATCAGTTCCTACTATTTCTGAATCAGATAGTTAGTTCTATGCCCAGGTTCTATGTTTCACTCCGATCTGCTTGTGATCTCCAGCACCTCTGCCAGATGTTCCTGTGCTTACCTGTCCATGTGTTCCCTAATGGCCAGTCCAGAGTATCATCTCTGTAGTTGGAGTTTGATTTATTATTGTCATATGTGCCGAGATACAGTGAAAAGTGTTTTACATGCTATATAGGCAGATCGTACCATACAAGGTTCATCGGGTAGCAGAGCAGAGTGCAGAATACAGTGTTACAGGTGCAGAGAGAGAGATCAACATTAATATTTGAGAGGTCTGTTCAAAAGCCTGATAACAGCAGGGAAGAAACTGTTGAATCTTTTCATCTGTGTATATCATCTGTCTAATGGAAGAGGGTGGAAGAGAGTATAACTGGAGTGGGATGGTTCTTTGATTACGTTGCTCGCTTTCCCGAGGCAGCGGGAAGTATAGATTGGGTCAGTGGATGGAAGGCTAGTTTACATGATGGACTGGGCTGTGTTCATGACTCTGTAGTTTCTTGCAGATGTGGGAGGAGCAGTAGCCATACCACGCTGTGATGCATCCAGATAGGATGTTTTCTATGGTGCATCTATAAAGATTAGTGAGAGTCCTTGTGGAAATGCCGAATTTCCTTAGCCTCCTGAGGAAGTAGAGGCATTGTTGTGCTTTCTTGACCAACGTGTCGACATGAGTGGACCAGGACAGATTGCTGGTGATCATCACTCCCAGGAACTTGATGCTCATGACCATTGCCATCTCAGCACCATTGGTGCAGACAGGGGTGTGCCCTCCACTCCGTTTCCTGAAGTCAATGACCAGCTCCTTCGTCTTGTGGATGTTGATAGAGAGATTGTACTTTACTGGGCTCAGCAAAGGCTGGTTCTATAGCGGTTCTTTGAATCTCCTTGAGACCTCTGCAGTTTCTTACTCCTGCAGCCGTCAGCCCTTATCCATGATTTTTTTTCACCAGAATGTGACCCCAAGCCTACTCTAGATTCCCAAGGTAAATGAATCTGTGCCTGTGGAGAGTGGTGAGGAAGACCTTGACAGTGCTTCCTCTGATGTTTCTGATTCTTCCCAGTCCCATCTCTACTAGCTCCTTGAATCTCACCTCTGAGGAGAAAGTGGTGAGACTCAAGCAGCTGGTAGAGATGGGACTGGGGATAGAGCTGGACTTTTGCTGTCTTGGGAATGTGATCTGGGGGCTTCCTAGAAAAACACGAAGATCTGTTATTGTTGCAAGGCTCCATCCTTATCCAAGGCTTCATTAAGACAGCCGTGCTTGATGCAAAGCTGGGTGCACCAGATTTTTGATCCAGTCTTCCTGTCAACGCATTCCTTACTCTCCTTCCAGCTCAGCAGCATTCTCCTCAGTGGGGTAGAGAGACTTATGTTTTGTATTCCCCCTCTCCAACCTGGGCATGTTTGTGCTTATTGTGCAAGTTTTTCTGCAGAAAGAGATATGTATCAAGGGACATTAAAGTGCATGCATTACCATAGTGCCTGCATTAGTGCAGATGTAAATCCCCAGGGTTGTAATTGTCTGTATGTATTCGTAGTAAGAAGAATGTGCTGTGGGAAAAGTTAGATGTTAAAAGATTCCGAATGGAAGGTGATGTCAAAAAACTACTGTTGAGAAAAACCAAGAAAGCATTATGTGATGTGTGTTCCTTGCATACCTGTGAGCTGTTTATCCCAAAGTCCATCTTTTATGGTTGTATCTTTGTCTCATGTAGTCCCTAGTGAAAAGCTAACAGGTGTGTACATTCTCGCAGTTGCGAAGAAATGTCACTGACCTGATGGTATGGCTGAGTGCTGCTCCTTTTTTTTTGAAATGTGAACCCTGTCATGTGTGAGAGGGAATACCACCGTGATGCAAGTAGTGATACATTGATTGTTGCAACAATTTGACAGCTATTGATAGCAAACAAGGCATCAGCTGAAGATACATGGCGCTGTATATTGTGTATGAAAGTCCTCTGCAGTAGTAAACTTAAAAAGTTAAAACTTAAAAAACTTGGACTCAAAGGGGCATAAAGCATGAGTGGATAATGATACGTACCTGGATAGAACAGTCGTCATTTGCAGCAGTGGAACCAGGTTCTCTTGCGCTGTCCACAAATACTGACATCTGCAGCTACCTCTGACCAAGCTGCCTTTGTCAGTTGGAGTGGCTTCTGTTACCACCCCTCATGAAGAGATCTTTCCTTTTTCTCTTGAACAACCTTCGTAAGAACCTCGAGGGAGGCATTGCTAAAGAATGATGTTGCTTTTTATTGGTTTCTGACATCTTCATGATAAGTGAGAGTAATGAACGGGGGTTGACTGATGGTCTTGGGTTGTAGAAAGTTTTGTCCGGGTACCTTTTAAATATGGTGTCTGAAAGTTGGAGCCCAGAAGGTCCTAGTAGATAAGACCCTCCTGTCCATCTGCTTATAAAATTTGGCTTTTTAACAAATTTATTGATGGATGATGCCATCGTTGGCTGGGCTAGAATTTATTGCACATCCTGATTGGCCCTTGAGAAGGTGGTGGTGAACTGACTGTTTGAACTAGTGCAATCTATTTGGTGTAGGTACACCCGTGGTACTGTTAGAGGGGAGGTTCCAGAGACTTGACCCTGGGACATGAAAAGTATAGAAATATATTTCCAAGTCAGGATGGTGCTGCCCTTGTCCTGCTGGTTTCCAATGGTCTAGTGTTTGGAAGGCTCTTTTTAAGGAGCTGTGATCTATTTCTGCAGTGTATCTTATAAATAGTACACACTGCTCACACAGCATCAGTGTTTGTGGATGACTAAATTTTGGGGATGTGATGCTAATCAAGCAGGCTGCTTTGTCTTGGATGTTGTCAAGTTTCTTGAGTGTTGTTGGAGCAGTATTCATAACTTCTGACTTCCTCTTGTAGCTACTGTATGTAACTGGATAGTCAAATTAAATTTCTGGTCAAGGGTAATCCCCAGGATGTCGTTCATGGAGAATTCAGCTACGATAATCCCATTGAAAGTTGAAGAGCAATGGTTGGATACTCTTGTTAATAATGATCATTGCCTAGCACTTATGCAGTGGAACTTCTGCAGAGATGTCCTGAAGTGGAGTCACTGACTCTAACAGCTGCATCTACTGCAGAGGAAAACTCTTATGATTATAATCAACAGAGATTTTTCCTGCTAATTCTCATGGACTTCAGCTTTTCACATTTGGCAAAATGTGGCTAGATGTCAAAGGCAGTCACTCCCACCTCACCTCCTGGAATTCAGCCATTCTGTCCACACTAGAAACAAGGCTGTAGCGAGGTCAGGAGCTGAGTGATGATCAAGCGTAAGCAGATGAGGTAGCAATTTGCCAGGTTGAATTTGTCCTGCTTTTTGTGTACAGGTTCCACATTGCTGGGTGCATGCCTGTGTAATAAACTGATAAAAATGTCATCATGTGAGGAATCCTGACCCATCTGAACAAAAGTATCTCCTGCCATCAGGCCCATCTTCACAAGCTCTAGAAGACAGGATTCCACTCACTGTAACTGCATCTGCAATGTGCAGAAACTGACCTCTACCCCTAATATTGCAGCACAAACAGTACAAGTATTCAGTCAGTGAACGGTCATTATTAAGTGAACACACAGGATAGATTTTGGATTTTAGAGCCTTAGGTGCATACATGAAGTAGTTTTCATTAAACTTTGTGGTATTGTGTTTAAATTTAAATTTGTGTTTGCATCTTAAGATGGAAGAATGTACGATCAGATGGCTATCGTGCCGAAATGACTTACTGTAAGAAACACTTCCTGAGTCGGACTACACTTCTAACAATGGAGGTTTGTATTAAACATCCCAATATTGTGCTTTTCAATCACGGCATTCATGTTGGTATTTGGTGGTGCTGATGTTGAAGCATGCACACGTTTCTCATGTTGAAAAATATTAGAGTTTTGTACAATGCATGCTGATTTTGAGCTTTTTACAACGCTGATTTACATTTAAAGGATTAGAGTTTGATATGAATTTTATTAATAAAAATGTATTTATAAATTAAAACACTAATTTCTGATTTATTTCCTGAAAATATGCTTGCAGGAAATTAAACAAGAGCTCATCAAGCTGATGGAGGCAGCAGGTTTTGTGCCATCAAGAACCAGAGGAATGACACATCAAAGTTGCAGCAAAGGACCTTTGGTAGAGCACCCAAAAAAGAGCTTATCAGATAAGGAGGTCCCTCTTCTAAAAGCTGTATTAACAGCAGGACTGTATGATAATATTGGAAAGATTATTTACACACCATCAGTGGATATTACTGACAAGGTGATCTGTTGTGTAGAAACTGCTCAAGGTAAAGCACAACTACACCCTTCATCTGTCAACAGAGATCTGCAGACAAATGGTTTGCTTCTGTATAAGGAGAAGGTAACTTTTTTATTGATAAGAGTATCCATGTTTGTATTGGATGACTAACTCTTACAGGTCTCTGTCCGTATTGTCACAAGGATCTTGCTTGTGATTGTGGTCATTGCTGCTTTATCTCTTGGAGCTACCGTTTCATATTTCCTCCTTTTCCAAGTGATCTATAGCTCCAAGGATGTTAATATATCCCACTATCATACAAAATCTTGTTATTTTCTACACAGCTACATAACTAGCAATAAGCATTCATTTGACATGTGTTGATACAACGAAACAGAATATAACTTGTGTTTCATTAAGATTCAGATGTTGTGCAACAGAAGTGTGTCTTTAAGATGTTAGAAATGCAAATGGTTTCAGTTATACATGCAGTGTCCTACAATATAATCCAAGGTGTTTTTCTATTTCTGTCTATTCTATTGTTTTTAAATGAATTAAGTATTATTATACATGAAACAATTGAAATTTTTTGACAGTAAGACAGGAATTTGACAGTAAGAGACATGAAAATGAACCTATTTGAAGTGTATTATAGAACTTGTTAACTCCCCTATGCTCTTGGTAACTATTGTTCCCTTTTTCATGGCTTCATCATTAGCCTTAACCCTCAGTCAGTGGACAACTTCTTAGTGGATTTCTGTCCCAAAACTACGCTGCCAGGATATTCTTTGCATTCAAGTGTATGTTATTTATACCAGCTTGGAGTTAAAAATAATGATCCATCTAGCATCAATCGCCATTTACACAAGCATTTTCCAAAGTTCTACCACCCAACTTATTCCCAACTTATGTCTGCACGGTCTCAGAGACACTTAGATTTGCCCCAGAACATCAGGGGGCATGGTGGCTCAGTGGTAATTCACTGCTGCCTCACAGCGCTAAGGACCCGTGTTTGATTCCAGCCTTGGGTGAATGTGTGGAGTTTGCACATTTTGTCCGTGTCTGTGTGGGTTTCGTCCGGGTGCTCCGGTTTCCTCCCACAGTCCAAAGATATGCAGCTAAAGGTGGATTGGTCAGGCTAAATTGCCTGTGGTGTCCAGGAATGTGCAGGCTAAGTGGATTAGCCATGGGAAATGCAGGGTCACAAGGATAAGGTTGTGGGAGTGGGTTTGGGTACAATGCTGTTTGGAGGGTCAGTGTGACTCGATGGGCAGAATGGTCTGCTTCCACACTTTTTGATTCTATGATCTAACTCTATGAATAACAAGTTATTTTCTTTTTTAACAGGTCAGGCAGCATCTATAGAGAGAATTTTTTTTTAATTTTTCTATTGTGTCAGCATTTTCAAATGTATTTTTACTCATGGTTATGCTGCTGTGTTTGGAGTTCTTTCCTAATTTTACTCCTGAAAAGTCTGACTGATTTTTAGACTATCCTTCCATCCTAGATTCCTGAACCAACTGAAATAGTTCCTTTCTACCCAATTGTGTGAACTTTATATTTTAAAAGGGATATTCTCTAGTTGACAGTGGTGTTTTAATGATGGGATGAATCAATTTCTTTTTCTTCAAATTAGGTGAAATATGGCAGGATATATGTGCAAGAGACAACACTGACGTCACCTTTCCCAGTGTTGCTGTTTGGTGGTGCTATAGAAGTGATGCACCGTGAAAGATTACTTTCAGTTGATGGCTGGATACATTTCCAGGTAATAACACTTATTTAACAAATTCTACTGAATTCAAAGCAAGTTGTCCATTTTGTATACTATTTCCGATATGCAGCCTCCATAAACTTGTGCTCAATCAAAATACGTTGTTGACTGTGGAAAGGTAGATGCTTGTTATATCAGTATCAAGTCTGTTGGATCTAGGTCTTGTCTTGAGTTCAAACTTCTTCTACTCATTCTCTGAGTAATCAATTCTCCCTGAACTGAAATTGATCTGAGATTGAGCTCCATCTTAATTTTTACTCTTCTTATCTATGACTTCTGTCATTAATACGAGCACCATGACAAAGCAAACTATAAAACCTTTCACTGTATTTTTTTTTTGAAAGTATGCATGACAATAATTTGCTATTCTATTCTATTCTATTCTTTTCTTTTCTTTTCTTCTTTGTTCTTTTTCTCCTCTTCTTCTCTTCTTCTCTTCTTCTCTTCTTCTCTTCTTCTCTTCTTCTCTTCTTCTCTTCTTCTTTTTCTTTTTCTTTTTCTTTTTCTTTTCCTTTTTCTTTTCTTTCTGGAGATCTAAGTGCAGTTGTATTCTCCGGTCCATGATAAAGTGCAACTTAAAAATCCAAAGGATTGTTGTTGGGCAGCTTTTTAACCAAAGGCACCTGTTTGTAGCTCCTCAGTATCTCAAGTTTGATATCCAGCATCTCCAAAAGTTACATGATCTTGTGTAACTGACAAGTGAACAGGGTATATTTTCACTTTTGACATTCCAAGTTGCAAAGAATTACAAAAGGAAACACACCTTGTACATTCTCAGTGCAACGTAAGTGTCCAACCTTTCAATTTTTCCCAGTTTATATTCCAAAAAAAAATGCTGTGTTTGCACACTCCCACATGCCTATGTTGTTGACTTTTTTTAAATGCAGCCCACATAAAAGCTTTATAAGTTCATGAGTTGACAATATCTATGATTGTTGTATTGACAACCCCTTGTCTGGACTCACCTGAAAGTGGCAACCATTTACCTGCATCCACTCTATTAAACCCCTTCATACCTTGAAAACTGTCTATCAGAACGTGGGAACACGAGCTAGGAGCAAGAGTATGCCACACAGCTGTCTTGAGCTTGCCCCACCAGTTGACAAGATCATGACTGAACGTCTACATTAAATAAACTTCCACAGCCCTCCAGGAAATTCTCAGGTTTTAAAATTCTCTGAATAAAAAAAGTTCCCCTGATTTCGGTCAGAAATAGTGGATCCCATTATCTTAAGATCATGATGATTCAAGTCAAGGGAAACAGTCTATCCTGTTTATCCTGTCAAGCTGTTCAACTCACACTACAGCTTATCATGGAATTTGAATTCAATAAAAACCATAATTAAAATTCTAATGAAGACTGTAAAATGATTGTCAGTTGTGGGGGGAAATTATTGATCTGATTCACTAATGCTGTTTAAGGAATGAAACTACGGTCCTAACTTGATCTTGCCTATGTGTGACTCCAGACCCGCAGCTGACAGATAACTGCCCTCTGGGCATTTGCGAAATGGACATTAAATACTGGCTTGGCCAGCAATGCCCATATCCAGTGAATAGGAAGTATAACCCTCTTTTAATAAATAGACAAAAACTGTACGTAGTACACTAGCAGTGTTTTTGCCAATGCCAAACATACTTTTAGCAAGACAATTTATTAAAACAGTCCAAACCAAAGACTAATGTGCCATTTTTCTTGCTAATCATTTGCTATACTTGCAGGTTAATTCCAAGGGGTGGCACAGTGGCTCAGTCGTTAGTACTGTTGCCTCACAGCACCAGGGACCTGGGTTCAATTCCAGCCTTGGGTGACTGTCTGTGTGGAGTTTGCGTGTTATCCCCATGTCTGTGTGTGTTTCCTTCCACAGTCCAAAGATGTGTAGGTTAGGTGGATTGGCCATACAAAATTGTCCCATAATAACCAGGGATGTGTAGGCTGGGTGGATGAGCTATTGTAAAAATGAAATGTGTGGGGTAACAGAGACGGGGAGGGTCTGGGTGGGATGCTGCTTGGAGGGCCAGTGCAGACTCTATGGGCTGAATGGCCACTTCCACTGTAGCGATTCTATCTCTGATTAATGGTTACATCCTGCCAATCTGAGAATGATGTATTCATTCTTACTCTATTTACCATCCAATAACCCTTCATGAACCAGTGCTAATCTATCATTTCCCCTGCCACCCCAATGCCGCCATCCCCGAATCCTGTGTTTCATTTGCTACCTTCCAATCTATGTAGATTCTCGAATCTATAATCTCTTTGACAGAGTAAAAGAGACCAACCTGTTCAATCAACTTTGATAGTTATATTTTCTAAATCCTTACAGTCACGTGGAAATCTGAACTGTGGACCTCACTTGGAGTGTTGTACGACCAAGATCTTTTTCCCCATTTCTGCAGTGCATTTGTCTGGACATGAATTCCCATGCTTTATTTCTGCTCTTGGTGTCTGTGCAACTTTGTGTTGCTGCTTCTCATGATTTATAGTTTTGTTTTTCCAGATCACTTTGTTTCTCTAATCCTTTTTAAACCCTAAATGTCCAACGAGTAAGCAAATCACTTATTCCTTCGACTAAAATGAGCTGCCTGATCTGTCATTGTATTGAATTTGCCATTAATGCAGCCGTAATGTTGATCATTCCATATTTTGGTGTGTTTTTTCACCTTCTCTTGCCCCTATCTTCCTCCCCTCTTGCACCGTTGCCCTCTTTTGTACCCTCCTCCACCCCCCAATCTCTTTCTCTTTTTGCCTGTCCTTTTTCTTTCCCCTCCATCCCAGCGAAAGTTTAATATGCTCTAATCTTCATTGACTAGATTATTTAATGTGATCATGATTTCCCTGTGCAGTTCCACGGGGATTAATGTTTTATGGGGCTGATAGGGTAAGGGTGAAATATAAGATTATAACAAAACCTGGTTGATCAAGAGATCAGAGACCAGATTCAAACCTTTGTAGCTACTCTATTTTTAATGAAATACAATTTTCGGTACTGTTTCATATTTACAAATTACTAATTTTTGTAGGCTCCTGTCAGGACAGGAATCATTTTTAAGGAGCTGAGATCCTTGATTGAATCTGTTCTACTGAAGAAACTTGAAGATCCAAAAATAACAATTGAAGGTAATTTCAGTATATGTATTCCAGTTTTGTTTCAATTATAAATTCTATTTTTGCAGGTTAGACGTAATTATATGTATAGTGTGTGTGTGGGGGAGTGGGGGAGGGTGAATGTTGATTATTTGTTAGCATTGTTTCTGATGTGAATACTGTAATGTGCACTGTGTGCACAATTTGATTATATTGATCAGAATATGTGAAAATTATGTTACCATCACTGAATTGTTCACTATCAACATCTTTGGGGTTATCATTGATGAGAAACTCAACTGGATTCGCCACCTAAACAGTGACCAGAAGAGCAGGCCCGAGGCTAGGAAGATTGCAGTGACTAACTCACCACCTGACTCTGCAAAGCCGGGCCATCATCTACAAGGCATAAGTCAGGAGGGTGATGGAATACTCCCTACTTGTCTGGATGCATGCAACTTCAACAACACTCAAAGCCTTAAACCATCGAGGACAAAGCAGCTGCTTGATTGTCACCACATCCACAAACATCCACTCCCTCCACCTCCAACACCCTGTAGCAGCAATGTGTACTATCTACAAGATGTACTACAGAAATTCACCAAAGATCCTCAGACAGCATCTTCCAAACCCATGACCACTTGCATCTAGAAGAACAAGGGCAGCAGATACATAGGAACACCACCACCTACAAGTTCCCCTCCAAATCATTCACCATCCTGACTTGGAAATATATCACTGTTCCTGTACTGTCACAGGGTCAAAATCCTGGAATCCCTTCTCGTGGCATTGTGGGTTTAACTCAAGCAGATGGACTTCAAGAAGGCAGCTCACCACCACCTTCTCAAGGGCAACTTCGAATGGACAAGAAATGCTGGCCATCTAGCGAAGCCCAAATCCCAGGAATGAATGGAGAAAAAAAAAATGCTCTTCTTTCCTAACATACAGGAATGTAGGCACTGTTAAAGTCATGTTTACTCCCCCTCTTTTTTTAATTTCCACTGCAAGCACACACCACTGTTCGCTATTCTACAAAAGGTCAGGTGTCATTTTCTCTCTCCACCTCCCCTTTATGCTTGCTTAAAAGCCATTACATTTTGAAAAAGAGGTTGCTAATCTTGAATATCAACTAATTTTCTTTCTGCATAAATGCTGCCAGACCTGGTGAGCACTTCCAGAATTTTCTGATTTTTGTTTAGATTTCTGGCATCCACCGTATTTTTGTTTTGTTTAAGAGACAACTTATTGAATGATTGGAAGCTTTGCATATCGAAAGCATCTGAAACTCTTAAGAACTGCAGATGATGCTGGTGGTGCCCATCTGGGATTAACACTTGTTCCCTTTCAGAGGATACTTTTTTAATAATTAGTTCACGAACACGTGAGGCTGACCATAGCAGTATATTATCTAGTTGCCATTGTGAAGATAATGTGCTACTATCCTGTGTCATTGCATTCTACTACCTCAGTCCATATGAGGAATGTTACCATAACTTTCTAACAAATAGCAATGACCTAGTGGTATTATCACTGGACTGTTAATCCAGAGACCCAGATAACGTTCTGGGGACCCAGGTTCGAATCCCATCACGGCAGATGGTGGAATTTGAATTCAATAAAATATCTGTAATGAAGAATCTAATGCTGACCATGAACCCATTGTTGATTCATTGTTGATCTGGTTCATTAATGTCCTTTTAGGGAACGAAACTGGCCTACATGTAACTCTAGACCCACAGCGATGTGGTCGACTCGAAACTATCCTTTTTGCAATTAGTGGTTGTCAATAAATGCTGCCTGGTCAGCGACACCCTCATCCAGTGAATATTAGGAAGGCGAAACGGAAGAGAAAAAAAAAACATATGAAATAGTAGCAGGAGTAAGCTATTCAGCCCTGTAAGCACAGAGCTTGCTGTGCTATTCAATAAGATCATGGCTGAACTGTTTGTGACCTTAACTCCACTGTACTGCCAGTCACCATTGGTTCATTATTCTTGGTACCCTTGTCCTGTAGGAAGGAAGCCAATTATGAGTACAAAGGGAGTGCTCTGCATCTAATTAGCCTGTAGGTTAGGATATCTTGTAGCAAATACTGCTGGCGTGCAGTCAGTAACACCTAAAATTGTAAAGCCTCCTGCTGTCAATCATGTTTCTATTTTGTATTGAAAATTCAACAAAGATAAAAGATAAGTTAAAATCATTCGGACGGTGCCACTTTATCCAGCAGCAGAACTGGCAGTGCTTTCAATCATGGTCCCAATGGCAGGCCTTACACCAGCAATAACAAGGGTGGCAGCTAAAAGATTCACAAACTGGTGCCCAAATAAAGGCAGCAGGCAACAAAAATATGTAGTCATTTGGTTTGCCGATTTCAGTACCTATTCTCTTCCTATAACTCGGAAGACTGTCATGATGTTGTGTTGCTGAGATTGCGTAATCACTTCATTTTTTTTGTCCGTGTGGGGCAATGTGCCCCCTTTAGAAAATAAAATCCAGCCCTTCATTTTTAAACTCTTTCTCCTTGTTCAAGATTTTACCCGTGAGGGGAAGCATCATGTCAGCACCTGCCCTTTTAAGCTCCCTCTGGTATATTTCAATAGACCGCTTCTCGTTCTTCTGAATTCCATTGAATGTAGGCCAAACCTGCACAAACTTTCCTCATAAGAAAATCTCTTCAGACCAGGAATCAACCTATGAATCTTCGTTGATATGTATCTCCTTAAATCTGGAGACCAGAATTGTACACAGTATTCCTGTGTGTGTTTTCACCAGGGCCCTGAATAGATGGAATAAGATTTACCTATTTTTCTACTGCATCCCTCTTGCAATTGAGTCCAGTGTTCCCTTTCGCCTTCCAAATTATTTGTGGTGCATGCATACTACTACTTTTGTGATACAATATGTAAATCATCCAGGTCCTTGCATACTGCAGCATTCTACAGTCATCTTCTGTTTAATAATGTGTGAACAAATTACTGCAGATGCTGGAATCTATACTGAAAACAAAAATGCTGGAAATCCAAGCAGGTCAGGCAGCATGTGTGGAAAGAGAGCAAGCTAACGCTTAGAGTCTAGATGAATCTTCATAGCTGCTCTGATGAAGAGTCATCTAGGCTGTTTAATAATGTTGTGGTTTTCTGTTCTTTCCACCACACAAACAACCCCACATTTTTCCATATTATATTCCATCTGCTGATTTTTGTAACTTGCTTGACCTATCTAAATCCCTTTTCCAGATGATATATCTTCACAACTTGCTTTCTTCCCTAGCTTCATATCATCAGCAAATTTTGGCTCCAAAACAATTGGTCCCTTCATCCAAGTCATTAATATAGATTGTAAATAGATGACAGCACTCATCTTTGTGGCATTCCAATAGATATAATTTGTCAACTTGAAAACAGCCCATTGATCTTGATTTCCTGGATGTTCGTTGGCTAATATCACTTTCCTCAGTGCTGGTGCCAGTGGCCCACTTCTCCTATGTCAGTTGTTGAGCCACATTTTCATTTCTCTAACTTTGGTCCCATACCAATTTATATGAGGCTTAGGTGATCTAAAGATGATAATCTTTGACGTATTGCTTTTTAATTTAGTGCCCACTTCATCATACTCTTTTTATGTAACCTCTTTCCTATTTCTCCCTACATTGTTAGTACCTACATGGAGCACAACCAATGGATCCTTTCTCTCCCTTTGCAAGTTCCTTTCCATCCTGAGCAGATATACCCAACTGTGGCACTGAGCAAGCAGTACAAGCATTTTAACTCTTTTGCTGCAGAGAATGGTGTCAGTCCCCCTCCTATTGCTCCCCTGACTTGAATGGCTTTTGGTTCCATGGTGCCATGGTCAGTTTGCACATCTACCCCACTGTTCCCATTTTCGCAGAAACCGACTGAGAGAACCTCAGACATTGTACACAGTTGTAGAGTTTCTAAACTCCTGCCCTTATCTGCCTCACTTGTAATCACACCCTTGTTTCCCTGACCAATGAATAAGTTAGAAGATCCTTCCTGGGTGTTGTGATTGTTTCCTGGTACAAAGAATTAAGTTAACTTTGCCCTCCCTGATCCATTGCAATGTCCAATCTAAAACTGCTTGAACTGCAAACGTATTTGCCCTGGATCACAATGGTGTGCAGGAATATGTACTTCATTCATGGGATCTGGGCTGTGCTGGTTGGGCCAGCATTTCTTGCCCTTGACAAGTTGGAGAGTTGTTTTGTTGGGCTGATGTATTCCATTTAATGTTGGTACAACAAATTGCCATTGGAAAGGAAGTTCCAGAATTTTGACCCAGTTACACTAAAAGAATGGCAAAATATTTTCAAGTCAACTTTGTGTTTTGGAGGGGAGTTTACATGGGTTGGTGTTCCCTTGTATCTTCTGCTATTGTTCTTCTAGATGATGGTTGTGGCTTTGGAAGGCGCTATCTGTGGAGCCTGATAAATTTCTGCAGTGCATCTTGTGTGCTGGTGGTGAGGATTTAAATGTTTGTTGACATGGTGTCTATCAAGTGGGCTATTTTGTCTTGGATGGTCATGAGCTTGTTGGGTGTTGGAGCTGCAGTCATCCAGACAAGTGTAAAGTATTCCATCACACTTCTAACTTTTGTGCCTTCTAAGTAGTGGTCAGGCATTGCAGAGACAGGAGGTGAATTATTTGCCACAGAGTTCCTCGACTCTGATCTGTTGTATTTAGGAGGGCTTCTCCAGCTCAGTTTCTAGTGAATAGTGATCCTAATGCTATTAAACATCAAGGCATAGTGGTAGATTCTCTCTTGTCAGAGATGGTCATAGCCCAGCACTGGAGTGTGGTGTGAATGTTACTTGCCATTTATCAGCTGAGGCCTGGATGTTCACATGGACTTTGTGTACACAGGTGGGGCCTGGTTCAATTTCAGAGGAGTCGCGAGTAGTGCTGAACGTTGTGCAATCATCAGCCTCCCCTCTCTTGTTCAAGTTTGGGCCAAGGCTGCGGTAAGATCAGTAACCAAGTAGCCTTGGTGGAACCCAAACTTGAATGTGAGTGAGTATATTCCTTTGCAAGTGCCATTTGATAGCACTGTTGTTGACCTCTTTCATCACTTGGCTGACACTTGAAAATAGACTGAAAGGAAGATAATTGACTGGGTTGATTTTGTCCTGCTTTATTTGTAGGACATTTCTGGACAATTTTCTATATTATTGGTTAAATGCAAATTTTAGTAATGGAACAGCTTGGCTAGCAGCACAGCTAGTTCTGGAGGACAAGCCTTCAGTACTTTTTGACAATGTTGTTTAGGGGTTGGTCAATATTATGCCAACAAGCCACTGATGGTTATTGAAGTCCTGCACTGAGTACATTCTGTTACTTCTGGTGTTTTATCCAAGAGATGCTCAAGATAGAGGAGTACTCATACATCAACCAAAGGAGTGCATTAGCTGGTAATCATTACAAGCATATAAACATAGAGTCAAAGAGACGTACAGCACATAAACAGACTCTTTGGTCTAACAAGTCCATGCTGACCAGATATTCTAAGTAAATCTAGTCCCGTTTGCCAGCATTCGACCCATATATCTCTCAACCTTTCCTATTCATATACCCATCTCGATGACTTTTAAATGTTATAATTTTGCCAATCTCCACCACTCCCTCTGGCAGCTCATTCCGTACATGCACCAGACCCGCTGCATGAAAAAGTTGTCCCTTAGGTCGCTTGTATCTTTCCCCTCTCACCTTAAACCTATGCCCTCTAGTTTATTTTTCTCCCCCACATTGGGGAAAAGACCTTATTTATTTACCCTATCCTTGCCCCTCATGATTTTATAAACCTCTATATGGTCACCTCTCGGCCTCCGACACGACAGGGAAAATAGACCCGACTTATTTAACCTTTTCCTACAGCTCAAACCCTCTCGCCCTGGCAATATCCTTGTAAATCTTTTCTGAACCCTTTCTCATTTCACAACATCTTTCCTATTGGAGGGGGACCAGAATTGCACGCAGTATTCCAGAAGTGGTCTAACCAACATCCTGTACAGCTGCAACATGACCTCCCACTCCTATGCTCAAAGCACTGACCAATAAAGGCAAGCATACGAAACGACTTCTTTACTATCCTAGTTACCTGCAACTCCATTTTCAAGGAATTATGAACCTGCACTCCAGGGTTTCTTTATTCGGCAACACTACCCAGGACCTTGCCATTAACTGTAAAAGCCCTGCCCTGATTTGCCTTTCCAAAATTCAGCGCCTCACATTTATCTAAATTAAATTCCATCTGCTACTCCTCTTCCAGTTGGCCCGTCTGATCAAGATCCCGTTGTACTCGTGAAGTAACCTTAACATGACTAATAAAGGAAACATAGCAGTTAGTTTGTGTGCTACAAATTCTGACAGACAACAACTAAGTGACCAGACGGCCAGGGCGTCATCTTGAATGCTCGCAGTATTCTGGAATATTATTTTGCCAGTTAACTTGTTTTAGCTATTTCAAAATGTATTTTATTAAGGATATAACAAAAACGAATAATTTGTTAAAGGATTGCTGTCTTTCGTTTCAGATGACGAGATAATACGGATAATTATGGAACTGATCAAGACTGAGCACTGCTGAGTGAAATTAAGTATGATTCTTAATGCCTAATGCCTTATGTACAAATGGCAGCAAGTAATATAAATTTGATTTATAAAGTGAAAGTTTAAATTGAACATTGCAGAGGTCACAGGTGGTGTTTCTCGTCCTGATCCCTTGAAAGCTCCTTCCATTCCAGAAAACAACACTTATTGCTGTTGTTCCCTGTCCCAACTTCATATCCATGCTGCCTTTTCTCTTTTATTCCATGAAGTCAGCTTTACAGACAAGACTGTTATGTGGAACTTAACCACATTAATCCCACTGTTACCTTATCAAATAAACTTAATTTAAACTTTTTCCAACTAATCTGTACTTGCCCCAGTATCATCTCTGAAAAGTTATCCAACTGCTGTGGTTAAACTGGATAGATGCTGTATTTATTCTTGACTTATGTTGAACAAGGGAGGAAAATTTACTACTCTTCAATCCTCTAACACCATTCTTGTATCTAAGGAAGATTAAAAGATTATGGCCAGTACCTCTCCAATTACCTCCTCTACATCCCACAGCATCCTTGCATGAATTTAGTCTAGTCCTGGTGACTTAGCAACTTTAAATACTTCCTCCTGATGACCGTCTGGCCAAACGAATGCCTCGACTATCCCTTTTTTTTAAACTAACAACTTGGCCAACAATTTCTTCCTTGGTAAAGATAGATGTAAAGCACATATTTATTATATCAGGCATGTTCAGTGGTCTTTCGATGATTTCTTTTTGCCCCATATTGGCACAACTACTCCTTTAACTACCATTGTACTGTTTTAGGCTGTTTTAAAACAAAAGCTTTGGGATTCCCACTTGAATTAGAACATTACAGCACAGCAACAGGCCCTTTGGTCCACCATGTCTGTACCAATCATGATGCTATTCTAAACTCATCATATCTGCCTGCATGTGGTCAGTCTCACTCTATTCTCTGCCTGGAATCTCTACAGTGTGGAAGCAGGCCATTCAGCCCATCGAGTCCGCACTCACCCACCGAAGAACATTTCACCCAGAACCTGCCCCCATTGCCTATCCCTGCATTTCCCACGACTAACCCTCCTAACTTGCACATCTTTGGACTGTGGGAGGAAACGAGAGCACCCAGAGGAAACCCACACAGACACGGAGAGAATGTGTAAACTCTGCACAGACAGTCGCTCGAGAGTAGAATTGAGCTCGGGTCTCTGGCAGTGTGACGCAGCAGTGCTAACCACTGAACCTCCGTGTCACCCCATGTTTCTTTCTAAAAGCCTCTTAAACATTGTTATCGTATCTGCTTCTACCACTTCACCTGGCATCATGTTCCAGGCACCTACTACCCTCAGTGTTAAAAAAACTGTCCTTGCACATCTCCTTTTAAACTTTCTCCCTCTCCCCATAGTATTTGACATTTCCACTCTTGGAAAGTGACTGCGATTGTCCATTGTATCCACACCTTTCTTTGTCGTCACTCCTCAGCCTTCAATGCTCCAGTGAAAACAATCCAAGTTTGTCCAACATCTCACAGCTAATACATTCCAGTCCAGGCAACATCCTGGTAAACCACTTCTGCATCCTCTCCAAAACCTCCACATCCTTCCTATTGTGCTGTGACCAGAACTGCGCACAGTTTTCAAAAACTGGCCTGACCAAAGTCTTACACAATTGTAACATGACTTGCCAACTTTTATACACAATGCCCCGATAATGAAGGTAAGCTGTATGCCTTTATTACCACCTTATCCACTGATCTTGCCACTTTCAGGGATCTATGAACTTGGACTCAAGATCCCTTTGTATATTAATCCTCCTTAGGGTTCAGCCTTTTACAGTACACTTTCCTCTTGCATTTGACCTCCCAAAATGCATCACCTCACACTTGTCCAGATTAAACTCCACCTGCCATTTCTGCACCCAACTTCCCAGCTGATTTATATCCTGCTGCATCTTTTGATACCAAGGTGTGGAACTGGATGAACACAGCAGGCCAGGCAGCATCAGAGGAGCAGGAAAGCTGATGTTTCAGGTCTGCACCCTTCTTCAGAAATAGGGGAGGGGAAGGGGGCTCTGAAATAAATGGGGGGAGGGGTGCGGTGATAGAAGATGGATAGTGGAGCAGATAGGTGGAGAAAAGACGGACAGGTCAAGGAGGCGGGGATGAAGCCAGTAAAGGTGAGTGTAGGTAGGGAGTTTGGATGGGGGTTGGTCAGTGAGGAGGGAGGGGCGGGTAGGTGGGATGGAAGACAGACAGGCAGTTCCTACTATCTCTGCATCTTTTGATGTCCTTTCTCATTCTCCACAACTCCATCAATTATCATGTCATCTGCAAACTTACTAATAGCTCTTTTCATTCTTTCTCATTGTCACTCTGATTTTCTTTTTCCACTTCCCGTCTAAAATATCTATTCAGCCTGCATTTTTACAGGTATTATGAACCTGCCATTGGTTACCTGGTTTGTTTTTTTCCCTGCTTCATCTTATTGCCTATCATTCTCCTCCTTACTGTGCTCTGGCTTTGCATTTCCCCTCTGTGGGCAATGTAACTCCGACTGTCTCTTCAAAGCTAGCCCATTGTTCCATTTCAGTTTCACCTGTCAATCTTTAATTCATCAAGAGCAGATCCGTTTTCACCCCCCTCCAATTTGGTATTCTTACTCTAAAGTGCTGATTTTCATTTTCAAGGGCTAACTTGAACTTCACTGTGATAGCTGTTACCCAGAAGTTTCTAAACTCACACTTGATCCACTTGACCCATCACATTCCCCAGAGCCAGATCTAGGGAACTCCTCCTTTGTTAGCAATATGCCAAACAAGAAAATTCTTTTTTCAAAAACACTTTTCCTGATTCTAATCTATGTCATCAAATTAAAGCGCACCACCACCCCCCCCCCCCCCCCCCCCCCACAGTTATCTGTGTAATTTCCATGTGCATTTCCTCCTTCATGTCTTTCCCAAGATCCTCCTGTTTAAAAAGCAGGGAGCAAAAGATGGAATATCTCATTCTGTTTTTAACACAGGATTTTCACTCTTGACTATTCTGATGAAGTCCACTGCACAGCTACAATACGCATTGAAAATGCAAAATTGATTGCTGTTGAAAGTCAAAGTGCTGTATTGATAATGTTTTCTTGAGAATGGAAATGAACTCATGTAATCTCCATCTAATTTATGCTCAGTGGGAACATGCTATATTTTTCTGTATTCACAAAATCATAGATTTTACAGCCCAGAAGATACATTTAGATTTAGGTTTAATTGTTGCGTGTGCTCAAGTAGAGGTTCAGGAGTACAGTAAAAAGTGTACAATGTCCCCATTCCCACTGACATTTTAGGTACAAAAATAGAAAAATAAATAAGCTTAAAAAGTTTCACACTACAATTCTTCTTAGTATAAAGTAGAAAAATAAAGAAGTGAAATTAAAAGTTAAGCATTACAGCCCTTTCTTAAGCCATGGGCCCGCAGACTATTCATGCTGGCCTCTCCCCATGAGGGCTCGCTTGCATCTGTGCTGGGTACACTTTCACCCACACTGGGCTAAGTCCGGCCTGGGATCTCCAGCTGCTATGGTTTTGAACACCACGTTGCTGCTGACCGCCATTGAGTCTTGCCAGGCTTCACTGCCAACTGCCACTTCCCCACGACTGTCATTTGGGCTTACCAGGTTTTGCTACTGACCACCACCTGGAAACGCCAGGCTTCGTTGCCGACTATCATCTGGGTTTGCCCCCATTTGCCGCGGGGCTTGGCAGGCTTCACTGCTGACTGTCGCTTAGAAGGAGGCCATTCGACCTCCTGAAAGAACTCTGCAGATAGTGACATTCTCCAGCCCAATCTCCATTGCTTTTAAATTCATCACTTTCAAATATATATCCAGCTCTCTTTTGAAACCTCTTTTGGAATCTGCCTCTACCACTCCCCTAGGCAATGCATTCCAAGACCTAACACCCCTCTGAGTAACACAATTTCTCCTCATCTCACTCGTAGCTCTCTTGCTGACAGTCTTGAAATTGTGAACCTTAGTTAATGACCTACCAACTAGTGGAAGTAGAATATACTTCATTACCCTGTCAAAATTGTTCATAATTTTGAACACCTGAATTCTTTATGGAATATGGATATCTCTGACTTGGCCAGCATATATTGTCCATCCCTAAATCCCCTTGAACTGAATGGCATGTTAGGCTATTTTAGAGAGCATTTTAGAGTCAACCACATTGGTTTGGGTCTGAAGTCATTGCTACGGCAGACTAAGTAAAATGGCAATTTCCCTAGGGAATCTGATGAGTTATAACAACAGTAATTTACTTGTAATGAGATAGCTTTGAATTACTGATTTTTTTTGTTAATTGACTGTCTCCAATTTAATGTTTTTAGAAAGATGAAAGAGTTTTCAAAGGCACGATTGAACCTTCTTCCTTGCTACCAAAGTTGATCAAAACTCCAGACTCTAGTACTCTCTAACAGCAGAAAAGAGCTAGAAAGGAATTTTTCATGTTACAGTGGCATTGAAGTAATGAATAAAAGATAAAAATCCAATGAAATTCTTTCTATAAGTTCAGTAGGAGGAATAAAATACAGCAGAAGATATTACTAGTTTTTCAATTTTTTTATTTATGAAAGTATTTGATAAACTAAAATGATTGAAGACTAATACGTGTCCTGGCATTTGTCCTAGGATTCTGGAAGGAAAATAGATGAAGACTTCTATAGGATGGTATGATAAATATCAAAGGATTTGAAAAAGTTGATGAGGTTCTACAGGACTGGAAGGAACTGAAAATAAATGTACTTAAAAATGACAAGAAAACTGACTGTGGCCTCTTAGCCCATCAACGATGGCTAAAATAATGAAGTATAATGTGGAGAAATACTGTAGAAGAACTAAAACCAGCCAGATTGCTTTTGGAAGGGAATATGCTATTCTGCATTTGTTTTGAAAAAGTTCCAGATTGCATAAATAGATGATCACCTCTGACAGTACAATTAAACTCAAATTCTCAATAAAGATTTGCATAACAAACTTTTGGGTAAAAACTAGATGAATCCAGAATTAAGCATAGGACTACATGTGGAACTGATTTAGAAAACAATGGAGAAATAAATGCATGATGTGTCAGGTCTCACTGTAGATTAGCACATGAACATTTAACAGTTGTACATAAGATCTGTTTTAGAAATTACTCGTAAGAAACAAATGCTGTGTGATCACTGTGCACTGCCATTATCGTTCATATCTTTGGAAAATGTTTTTGTCTTGTATGACTTTTTAATAATTGAAATTATGTCAAGGTTATTGGGGAAAAGCTAGCACTTTCCCAATGATGCAGAATTGTGCAAAAAAAACTTAGCAATTATAATTAAAACAATATAAAACAAAAAACTGCGGATGCTGGAGATCTGAAACACAAACTGATATTGCTGGCAAAACTCAGCAGGTCTGGAAGCATTTGTGGGGACAAAACAGAGTTAACATTTCGAATCCAGTGATCCTTCATCAGAATTCAATGATGAGTCTGATAGAGAGTCACCAGAAACATTAACTCTGCTTTCTCCCAACAGCTGCTGCCAATTCAATTGTTAGGATATTTTGTATAAGTTTTAAAAACGTTGTAGAGTTTATTCAGTTATGCCATCTTTTTATTTGATTTGATTTATTTAGTTATTTATTCCCGTCATAGTTACTTATTCCCCTGTTATTTCACCATTGAGTATTAAATACAACAACTGGCTAAGTTTCATTTTAGTTAATGTTGTCTTAAATTGATTGTTTTTTGACATTAGGACTTTGCTTTTACTTTTTCACTTCATGTGCAAAATGCAGGGTGAAGAGGTAATTAGGCAATAAAAGTATTACGTACAGGAGATGGTCAGAAGTCACACAACACCAGGCTGTAGTCCAACAGGGTTATTTGAAATCACAAGCTTTTGGAGTGCAGCACCTTTGTCAGGTGCTTTGAAAGCTTGTATTTTCAGATAAACCTCTTGGACTATAACCAGGTGACATGTGACTTCTGAACTTGTCCAACCCAGTCCAACACTGCGATTCCACACATAGAAGAGAAGGCATCTCAGATGTTTCTGAAAATAATTATATGTATTGTACGTTTTCTCTTTATACAAATAGTAAGGTTGCTGACACTTTCTGCTGTCTTATGTTGCTGTCATGTGTTTTGCGCAGATGCATTATGTTGTAATGTCACTTTTAAATCCTGAGTAAATCATAATGCTTTATAAATGGTGCCTGCAATATAAAACCTGAAGTGTTACAGCAGATGCAGTTAGAAAGAAAACAGGTTAGTGTAATAAATGATGTTCTTGTGTTTTACTTCAATCTGAAACTGTAAAAATGAAGTCCTTTCTGTGGATCATCCTGTCCAAGAATAGATTTCATGGGATTAATTGGTTGTGTTTGGGTAATGTGCTATTTTTGTACAGAATTCCAAATGGAGATCATCACGAAATCCATGCGCGTTAATTCAAGGTGAGGACGTCATTCCATTTTGGGATTGTTGGCTTTTTACTTGTTGCTATTATTGCTGCTGATGGATTTGAGAGCAAAAATGTGTTATCATGAATGTTTTATTTGATTAGAGTAGCTTTTTGTGGGATTGGATTGCCTGTTCTGTCGTCATTTTTGTTTTCCTGAGGGTAGTCAGTTTGTGAAATTCTTTACCATAGAAGACTGTAGAAGCTGAGTTGATAAGTATTTTCAAGGCTGAGCTAAACTTGGCATCTCAAAGCTGAGATGGATGCTTCTGTCCTTGGTTTGCTACTGTGTTCCAGCAAAACTCAACACAAGCTGGAGGAGCAGCACCTCATTTTCCACATAGGCACTTTACAGCCTCTAAGATTCTGTTGACTTCCACAGCTACAGTGTTTTTTAATAATCATTTGTGGGTTGTGGGATGTGGGTGTCACTGGCTGGCCAGCATTTCTTGCCCATCCCTAGTTGCCCTTGAGAAGGTGATTGTGAGCTGCCTTCTTGAACTGCTGCAGTCTTCCTGCTGTGGGTTGACCCACAATACTAATTGGGGGGAATTCCAGGGTTTTGAGCAGCCTGCTTGATTGGTACTATATCCACAAGCGGCCGTGAAGGAATGGCGATATATTTCCAAGTCAGGATGGTGAGTGGCTTGCGGGGGAGCTTGGAGGCGGTGGTGTTCCCGTATGTCTGCTGCCCGTGTTTTTCTAGATGGAAGTGGTCGTGGGTTTGCAAGGTGCTGTCTGAGGGTCTTCGGTGAATTTCTGCAGTGCATCTTGTAATTAGTACACACTGCTGCTACTGAGCGTTGGTGGTGCAGGGAGTGGATGCTTGTGGATATAGTGCAAATCAAGTGGGCTGCTTTGTCTTAGATGGTGTCAAGATTCTTGAGTGTTGGGGCTGCACTCATCCATCCAAGTGGGGAGTATTCCATCAAACTCCTGATTTGTGCCTTGTAGATGGTTGACAGGCTTTGAGGGGTCAGGAGGTGAGTTACTCACCACAGTATTCCTAGCTTCTGGCCTGCTCTTGTAGCCAGTGTTTTATGTGGTGAGTCCAGTTAAATCTCTGGTCAATGACAAGACCTAGGATGTTGATAGTTGGGGGGGTATTCAGTGATGGTAACACCATTGAATGTTAGTGGGCGGTGGTTAGATTGTCTGTCTCTTATTGGTGATGGTCATAGCCTGGTATCTGTGTGGCGCGAATGTCACTTGCCACTTATTAGTTCAAGCCTGGATATTGTCCAGAGTTTGTTGCATTTGAACATGGACTGCTTCAGTATCTGAGGAGTCATGAATGGTGCTGAATATTGTGCAATCATTGGCGAACATCCCCACTGCTCACCTTATGATAGAGGGAAAGACATTTATGAAGCAGCTGAAAATGATTGGGCCAGGACATTACCCTCCAATGTCCTGGAGCTGAGATGACTGACCTCTAACAACCACTACTATCTTCCTATGTGTCAAGTATGACTCCAAACACCGGAGAGTTTGCCCCCTGATACACATTGATTCCAGTTTTGCTAGGGATCCTTGATGCCAAGGGCTGTCACTCTCACCTCAGCTGAGTGACTCTGGCAGAACCCAAACTGGGCATCATCGAGTAGGCTATTTGTGAGCAGATGCTGCTTGATAGCACTGTTGGTGATACCTTACATTACTTTACAGGTGATTGAGAGTAGACTGAGGGGGCAGTATTTGGCTGGGTTTGATTTTTGTCCTGCGTTTTGTGTACAGGACATACTTGGGCAATTTTCCACATTGTTGGAACCCTTGAAGGGTCACCGAACCCGAAACGTTAACTCTTCTCCTTCACATATGCTGCCAGACCTGCTGAGCTTTTTCAGCAACTTTGTTTTTGTTCCTGATTTACAGCATCCACAGTTCTTTTGGTTTTTATAACTACTGGAACAGCTTGGCTAGGGGAGCAGCAAGTTCTAGAGCACAAGTCTTCAGTACTATTGCCGGAATGTTGTCAGGGCTGGTAGCCTTTGCAGCATCCAGTGTCTCCAACCATTTCTTCATATCATGTGGAGTGAATCGAATTGGCTGAAGACTGGTGTCTGTGATGCTAGGGACCATTGGAGGAGGCAGAGATGCATCATCCACTTGGCACTTCTGGCTGAAGATTGCTGTAAATACTTCAGCCTTATCTTTTGCACTGATGTGCTGGGCTCTTCCATCATTGAGGATGGGGATATTTGTGGAGCCTCCTCCTCCAGTGAATTGTTTAATTGTCTACCACCATTCACGACTGGGTGTGACAGGACTGCAGAGCTTAGATCTAATCCGTTGGTTGTGGGATCGCTTAGCCCTGTCTGTCATTTGCTTTTTTTGCTGTTTGGCATGCAAGTAGCCCTGTTTGGTGGCTTCACCAGGTTGATATCACACTTTCAGGTATGCCTGGTACTGCTCCTGGCATGCCCTCCTGCACTCTCCCCTGGATCAATGGTAATGGTTGAGTGGGGAATATGTCGGGCCATGAGGTTACACATTGTGCAGGAGTACAGTTCTGCTGCTGTTGATGGCCCATAGCACCTCATGAATGCCCAGTCTTGAGTTGCTAGATCCATTTTGCATGGTGATCGTGCCATACAACACGATGGAAGTTATTCTCAATGTGAAGGCGGGACTTTGTCTCCAGAAGGACTGTGTGATGGTCACTCTTACCGATAATGTCATGGCCAGATGCAACTGCAGCTGGCAGATTAGTAAGGATGAGATCAAGTATGTTTTTCCCTCTTGTTGGTTTCCACACCACCTGTTGCAGAGCCAGTCTAGCAGCTATGTCCTTTAGGACCGGACCAGCTCGATCAGTAGTACTGCTGCCGAGCCACTCTTGTTGGTGGATATTGACCTCTGTATTCCATTGTTCTTGTGTTCCCCACCCTCCGTGACTTGGTAACTTTGCTTTCAGCAGAGTGGTAGCTATTTTCTCCTTTGCAGAGCCAACATTTATACCTCTTTTACATATGTCAATCCTTTACCACCATTATCACTGACTTTGTTCACTCTGCCTGCTTACCATTTGTTCCACTTGCTGCTTCTCTGTCACTAACATAGAAACCATCATTTTCCAGCTTCTTTCAGTTCTGAAGAAGTTATACTGGACTTGAAGCATTAACTCTGTTTCTATCTCCACAGTTGCAGCTGGACCTGCTGAGTTTCTCCGATTTACTTTCTGTTTTTAATTTGGATTTCCAGCATACATTGTATTTTGCTTTTCTAGTTAGATTGTTAATCATTCAGAGAATTGGGGGTTGGGAAATGGTAGGAAAATGGAGTTCAACTTGTTGAATGGCGGAGCACACTTGACAGTCTTGAATGGCCTATTTCTGCTTCGACAGGTTATGCTCGAAAGTGGGAATAGATTTACGAATCCCTCTTTAACTTCTCGGATCAGAACTCAAACTTACTTTTTCAAGTTTAAAAAAGGAGATTGAGGGTTGGAGCAGTGTGCTATACGAGCATGATTAAACCATGTTGCACTAATGTGTTACATAATATGATGCTCAGTGTTGTCTGTGCATCAAATACCATTGGAATGTTGCTGCTGATTTTTTAAAAAAATGTTTTGAGCACTACTAGTAGACTTCTGTTAAAATTTTGTATTTTTATTTTGTAACTTATTACGAAGAAAAATCAATGTATTTGTATGATCCCAGCTGATGTTAAGACCGGGCAAGTCACATCCTAAAATGAAACCTAGAATGGTTTGCCGTAATTGTTTTTTAAACTGTGGAGGTCATTTATTGAACACATTCACCAGAGCCTTCAGCATACTTTATTATAAAGAATAAAATATTTACAAAATAAGAAAAGCATGAACTATATTACACTAAACAAATAGTTTGGCAAGATCTCATTACAAACATCAAATAAATCCAAATTCACAGTATTCCTTTTTATTTCAGTAATATCCTACAAGACACAAAATCCCACCAGAACTTTACTACTATTTCAACACAGACTTGTTGCTCAGTGTGACACATCCACAATTATTTTCCTTCTGATGAATCTCTATACACGCTCTAGATGCTTTTTCTCCAGGTGATGTGTCTTCCTGATACATCTAAAACAAATTGCAAACTGAAAAAAAGAACTAACCTCACTATTACTTCAACTTAAGAGCAAAAACGAAAGTTCCCTCAACTCAGCTTCCAGCAGTCTTGCCGTAATTTCTTAACAGGATTTAACTTTCCTCTACCTTCTGGCACAACTGACTCACCTGACTCTGTTCTAGTTTTTTCTG